TGCGCCAGGAATTCGACGCAATCTGATCTCTGTTCCCAGCTTGATGAAGAAAGGACTGGAAGTAAGGTTCTATAATAACATAGTTTCTATAGGCAAGAATAATGAAGTGTATGCTATGGGTAAATATGTGCCCGAGCATGAATTATGCATTCTTCCAGTAGTTTGTAATAATTCTGATAATAAAATTTCGAATTTGAACTACTTGTCCTGTTATATTTCTGAATCTGAATTGTGGCATTCTAGACTAGGACATGCTAGTATTTCAAAAATGAAAGAAATTATCAGAATGAACTTGCTTCCTGCACTATCTAATGTTCAATTGCCACCATGTGAACATTGTTTAACTGGTAAAATGACTAGAAAACCTTTTGTTGGCGGACATAGAGCCAATGAACTTTTAGGGTTGATACACTCGGATATTTGTGGTCCCCTAAGTGTCAAAACTCATAGTAATAAAGAATATTTTATTACTTTTATAGATGATTATTCCAAGTTTGCACACGTCTATCTTATATCCAGAAAATTAGAAGCTTTTGACTGCTTTAAGAGATATAAGACAGAAGTTGAAAACCAACTTGGATTGAAAATCAAAATTCTGAGAACTGATAGAGGTGGAGAATATAATTCTAAAGAATTTGAAAGTTATTGTATTCAGCATGGAATTAAAAGGCATACAACAATGCCGTATACGCCACAACAGAATGGTGTTGCTGAAAGAAAAAACAGAACATTATTAAATGTAGTTAGATGCATGTTGTCTCATTCTGGTCTCTCTAAAAACTTTTGGGGAGAAGCATTGTTAACTGCAAACTACATTTTAAATAGAATTCCCACCAAATCAGTTATATCTACACCTTATGAATTATGGAATGGGAGGAAACCTAATTTGAGTCATCTCAGGAAGTGGGGATCTATAGCCCATGTTCTCATTCCATGTCAACTTAGAGATAAGTTGGATTTTAAAACAATAAAGTGTAGATTCATAGGGTATTCAGAAAAGTCAAAAGGTTATAAGTTCTACAATAAAGAAAAAGGAGTCATTGAAAGCAGAGATGCTACATTTCTAGAGAATCTAGAGGAAGAGGAACAAGTTCAAGAGGAAACAGAACCTCTAACTGTAATAGATGATGATTATTACAGTGTTGTTCCCACTAATGACCCTGATATTGTGAATGAACCTAACCTTGAAAATGATGAAATACCTATGGAAAATAATGTACCTAATCAACCAGTTGTAGGTAACAAAAGGCCAAGAACACAACCTTCATGGATGGATGATTACTATTTGTATTCATGTGAGTCATCCTGTTTTTCGGTAGATACAAATATAGAAGAACAAGATCCCTTAACTTTTTCTGATGCGATGAAATCGCATGAATCAGCTTCATGGCTAGAATCTATGAGAGAAGAACTTGATTCCATAGAAAAGAATAAAGTATGTGAGTTATGTGATCTACCAGAAAATAGGAAAGCCATAGGATGCAAATGGGTGCTCAAAAAGAAATATCGTGTTGATGGATCTATTGATAAATTCAAAGCACGGTTAGTTGCCAAAGGTTATAACCAGAAGGCAGGAATAGATTTTCAGGAGACGTATTCTCCTGTAGCTAAATTTGCATCCATTAGAATTATTTTGGCTATTGTTGCATATCTTGATTTGGAGTTATTCCAAATGGATGTTAAAACTGCATTCCTTAACGGAGAGTTGAAGGAAGCAATATATATGCAACAACCTGAAGGCTTTCAGGTAAAAGAACAGGAACATAAAGTTTACAAATTGATAAAATCTCTATATGGTTTAAAACAGTCTTCTAGACAATGGTATCTCAAATTTCATGATGCAGTTACTAAACTTGGTTTTATTCAAAATAAATTAGATAATTGTGTATATGTCTTGAAAAGTGGGAGCAAGTTTACTATATTATCCTTATATGTGGATGATATATTGCTCGCTGGAAATGACATAGAAATGTTGAATAAAACCAAGGCAGATCTCAGCGAAAAGTTTGAGATGAAAGACATGGGAGATGCATCATATATTCTTGGAATTCAAATAATTCGAGATAGAAAGTCTAGAATGCTAAGTTTAAACCAAGAAAAATATTTAAGATCAGTTCTTAAAAGGTTTGGAATGGAGAATTCCAATCCGGCACCAACTCCGTTGGTTATGGGAAATAGATTATGTAAAGAGCAAAGCCCTAGAGAGGGGCATAAGCCATTAGATGTTCCTTATGCTCAAGCAATTGGAAGCTTGATGTATGCAATGTTGTGCACCAGACCTGATATAGCTTATGCTGTGAGTCTAGTCAGTAGATATCAAAGTAATCCAGGACCAGCACATTGAAAAACTGTTAAAAGGGTTATGAAGTATATCAGAGGTACATTGACTCATAGATTAGTTTATCAAGCTGATTCGCTTGAACTCCTCGGTTATTCCGATGCTGATTTCGGAGGTGATAAAGATGATGGAAAGTCTACTTCGGGACACTTATTCATCTTTGGAGGAGGAGCTGTTTCTTGGAGTAGCAAGAAACAAGGGTGTGTTGCTAGATATACGCAAGAAGCTGAATATATAGCTTGCAGTATGGCAACTACACATGCTGTCTGGATAAGACGGTTTTTGATTGATCTTGATCTCAATTTGTTAGAAGGACCTATTGATATTTATTGTGATAATCAAGCAGCAATTAGCTTAATCAATAGTGGCGCGAATAGCTCCAAAGGAAAACATATTGAGATCCAGTATCACTATATTCGAGATATTGTAGAAAAGGGAGAAGTCAAAGTGACTTATATCCCTACTACAGATATGATTGCTGATCCTTTGACAAAAGGAATACCAGCAGAATCTTTTATCAAACATGTAAGTTTGATGGGACTTAGGAATAAATAAGTCCAAGTAAAATTTCATGAATAATGAAATAAGAGTTACTCTCTACAGATAGTGGGAGTAATGGTAAGCAGAAACATCCGATCTCATGGATAGTGGGAGGCATGTCACTTGGTTAATTTGGTCAAGTGGGAGATGTTAGCTTGACTTGGTCATTGATGACCAAATCAACCACTGTTTCTCTGTTGAGAGAATGGTGGAGAACGTGAATCATGGGTGGTTGAGAGAAAATCTCTCATGGGGGCGGATCTGAGGGGTAGAGATGATGGGTTAAGCCCCTATATAAGGAGGATCATTCTCCTTGAGAAAATGCACTGAAAACAAAAGCAAAACCACCTACCCATTACCGGAGCCCCTCAGAAATATCTGTTCTTCTTCCTCTTTGCTTATTAGAGTTCAATCACTGTGATGTGGCGCAAGGTTTACCCTCCTTTTCCTTGAACCAGCTTGCCAACCAAACTCAAAAAAAGGAAACCTTTCAACACCTAAAAGCTTACGTTGAGAATGTGTCATTTATTAAAAACCTCATTTCTCACTTTTATTTGCGAAACAACCAGACCCTAAAGGAAAAACAATACAAATGGCATCGTCCATTACTGAAGTGGTGTTCCAAAAGTAAGAGGGTTATCAGACCCCGATAAAGTATCAAGAGAATCAATGTTGTGTTTCCAATCATCCAATACCATAAGGCTGTGTTTGGGAATGCTGATTTGGGCTTGGATTTGAAATTCTGGGTATTTCAAATCCAAATTTTATGTTTGGGTTCAACTTTGGGCCATGATTTTAAATCAAGTCATTTTATCCGATGGATTTGAAAAGCCCAAAAAGTAAGGATTTCAAATTTCGGCACAGTACTTGGTATTTGCAAAATCTCACCCCCACGAAATCTAACCCCTCAAAACCTCGACTCTTCTTTTTCTCCTCTCTCACGCTCGTGTCGAAGTCCCGACGATCTCGATCTTGATCTCGATCTCGATCCATCGCAGGTATCTCTCCTCTCTCCCCTTCTCCTCTCTCGGTTTCGGTCTCCCCCTTTACTCCTCTCTCTCCCCCTTCCATCGAAACCCTAGACTGCTCCATGCCTGCAGCCCGATTGCTCTCTGAGGTGGAGTTCGAAGGAGCCGCGAGCAATAATAAATCGAAGACGAAGGCGAAGACGACAAAGAGAAAAAAATTCAAAAGAACCAAGCGACATCGACGAATTCGACGAAGAAGAAAGACCTCTCAAGAAGCGATCTCTCAAGAAGGAAAGCCTTGAGTTTCAGCTTCAGCGAAGAAATATTTCAAGTAAGCCTAATCATCCTTTTTTTTTTTTGGCTGCTTAAATTAGTCTAAGAAAAGTCTTATTAGGGTTTGATGTGGACTTTATTCACTGTGTATAAAAATTGCAACTTTTTTCGTTTCCTCATTCTTTTATTCACTGTGATTTCTTTGAATTTTTTCCCCTTTAATTAAGGTTGTTAAGTGCATCAAAATCTAGGTAAAAGACTCATCTTTTAGCAATTATTTCTTCTATCAAGATCTTAGATGATTAGGTCTTGAGGTTTGCATTCAGTAATTGTCATTTTCATTCCATGTCACTGGATAGTCAATTGTGGTAACAGAGTGCCATCATAAGTTGTGTTAGAAAATGAGGAGATCTCATGATAACTTGATTTTATTTGTCAAAAACCTAATTATGCATACATATATTAGTTTCCTGTCATTGGATATTGAGGTGGGATAACATAGTGCTATAATCAAATTAGAAATGTGATGATATTTCATAACATGAATTTACTACTGATTTGTCTATAAACTATAATAGCAGCAGCTTCAACAGGGAAAACAGTCGCGCTTGATTTTCAGGCACTTTTTGGCCTGGAGGTTAAACACACCAGCATATGCTGGTTGTTATATCTCATCTAAACGTTTTCTGTTGATTTTAACTCACAAATTGTTATGATTTTCTCCATTTGACAACGTACAACATATAAGGTTGAAAACTAACTTGCTTTGGCTGTTGCTATAACTGGTGCATTTATCAGTTAAAATTTTATTATATTCTGCATAGAAGAGTTTTAAACTTTGTAGCATTAAGTTGGCATTTATCATTAAGGATGTCCTGGTTAGCCTGCAGAGACATGAACCTGAGATACGTGGACTACTTAAGTATTACTTAGTGAGTAGATTTCGTAAAACATTCATGACCTGGCTTTCTTGTGGTGTAGGTAGCTGGGCAGCGGACGCATACACTAGCCGGTACATTTATTTGTCTTCAAATGAAGTGTTCCTGCACTCCCCTATGTGCTATGCATTTGGTAAATCTTGAAAATGTCCCTATCCATGTTAGAGCAAGTTATTGTTTCTTCTATCAGAATAATTGCCTAACATATTTTCTGTGTTAGTTTTGTCATTAATAGTAGAACATGATTCTCTTAGTACGTTTTCTAAAGGAAAAATCTCCAACATTTACTCATAATTTATTAAATGATGGTGATATCCCTATGTTGCCTACTTGCTTGGATCGTTTTCTTCCCAATTTCCTTTTGCTTTTCAGGCTCAAATTAAACTACTTATATTTTTGGTTTACTTATTTGTGCATGTCACTTTGTTTTGATGATTCCACATGTTTTTACTTGAGACTTTCTGGTGTCACAATTTATGCCATTCATGCAAAGGCTAGCAAACCTGTATACATATACGGGTGTAAATTTTTGTCTTTCATCATGCGGATTCTTAAATGACCTGAGAACTCGAGCTAGGGGCAGATTTATTATTTTTAACCTCAAATTGTCCTTAACGTCATGACTCTCAAATGCCCAAAGAACTCCATCATCAAATTATTTGGACAGTGTTTCGATCCGATCATTAGCGTCAAATTATCCATTGCTTAATAATGGTTATACCTCTATAATTATCTAGCACGTGTTGGGATTCCTATTTTCTCATTTCGGTATTTGATAGCATCATTAAGCAGTTATTGAAACCATGGCATTATTGTCAGTTTTGCTTCTCTCATATGTTGACAATAAGACTAACACGTTCATCTAAATCTTTCAGGTGTGGTGTTTAATTGGGCTATTACTGGATTGGAACATCTGATTTGTACATATCTCCTCTTCAATCCTTATCAAAGAACTAGTTAAGGAAAATATGGTGACCCATCTTTAATATGTTAAAACCTTGTTGAGCTGTTTAATTGGGCTATTTTTGCTTTTCCTATTCACTCTTTTTTTTTAAAATTAAATGTTTGACCTCTACAAGTGACTCGAATGTGGGAACGAGAATGTTTGGCCTGATGACTTGTTTTTACTTGGCAACTTCTAAGTTGTACCTTTAAAAAAAGATATATTGGGATGTCTTAGGGCCTGTTCGTTTGCCTTAAAAAATGGGAAATCAAAGAAATAGAAAACTATTTCTAAGAAAAATGGGTTTTTGAATTGTTTGGTTGGCTAAAAAAAAGGAAATCAAAGAAATGGAGATGAGATGAGATGAGTTGTCACATTATTATTGGATGATGTGAGTGATTTTTTAAGAAAACTAGTTTTGATGTTGTTCGGTTGGCGAAAAAAATAAGGAAATGAATTATAAGAAACCTATTTACTATAGTTTTGTTGTTTTCTTTTGTTTGGTTCATTCTTAAAAATAAGAAATGAAATAAGATGAGATGAGTTGTCATTGTATTATTGGGTGATGTGAAGAAAGATTAAGAAAAGTGTTTTCACAACTTTTTGTGATGAAAACTAAGAAATGAAATGTTAATGAGATGAGGTGAATTGTTATAATATTTTATTCGATGATGTGAGTGATTTGAAATGATGAAAAGAGATGAGTTGAGTGATGTTTGGATGAAAATAATATTTTATTAGATGTGATGGATAAGTTGTTAGATGAAAATAATATTTTATTAGATGTGGTGAATGGAGTTGTTAGATAAAAATAATATTTTATTAGATGATGTGGATAAGTTGTTGGATGAAAATAATATTTTATTGGATGTTGTGGGTGAGTTTTAGGGATGGAAATGGAAGAAATGGATTATTTTGAGATTTCCACCTTTTCCATTTCCATTTCTTGGTTTTTAGGAAATAAAAGAACAGGCCCTTAATAGAAAAACAGGAAGACTGTCATATTGTCCTTTCGCTTTTGTTGTTAGATGCTTGTGAGTGTTGATTGTCAAAAATAAGTTCTAAAATTACACATTGCAGCTATTTGTATGGATAACACAGTTTTTGAAACCTTATTGTCAATGGTATTAGTTACAGAAGCTATATGTTTCTTAAAGGCACACTTGTCCTGCCGTCAAATTTCTTTCATATAAAATTGTTTTCCCCACTTTGCACATGTTTTTTTAGGAATCCATATTTTCATAGTTGTAGCTTTTTTTTACACAATTAGTATCATTGTAGAAATATACAGACTCAAAACATCTCACCCTACCACTCGTAACATGTATTAGAATGTATCATTTTACCTTTTCCTTTTTAGTCTGCTAGTTATTGATAGGATGTATTATCCTCAATTTCAACGGAACACACCAATCATGTGAATGAATGTTGTATAAAAGTTACTGTTATGCATAAATTTGTTTCTGCTTCTTTATCTAATATATATTAATCGATGTTTTCTACTTCCTCAGGATCTGTAATTACTGGACCAATTGGAAAGGAGTGTGCTGATTTGTGGCCTAGGATTGCTAGTGCAGCCAATGTCATTGTGTAATATCCAGATTTTTCTTCAGGTGTCAGTGAGAAGTAGTAGTTTCATGTTATTTGTTATTGAGAAGAAAAAGGGAGTTTTTTAAAATATGGATCCATATTTGTATTGGATGTTTTTGTTTTCCCGTGACGTACATGTATTGGAATTGATATTCTAGGATCTAGCTGATGGTAGCATTGTTTTTCTTTTGTTATAAAATTAAATGGTGATGATTCGAAGATAATAACAGTGATGGTTTGAAGATAATAATGGTTCATATATTGGATATCATTGCTGAAAATTTATTAATACATAAGCTACTAGAAAATTTGAAGATATATTGTCAAACTTCTCAGAGGGCTTTGTGAAATTTATCCTAACTTTTACCTCAACATAAACTTTAATGTTCGCATAAAGATTGAGGAGTTAAAAGAAAGCATAAATTTTCTTCAAACACCAATTTTGAAATCCAAGTTCATGTATAATAAACAATGTAGCCAAACAATATATTTCAAATCTTTGATTTCAAATCCTTGTATTTTGTAATGACATCCAAACAAAAGATTCTACCAAATCATGGATTTCAAATCCTAGATTTAAAATCCTTTGATTTTAAATCAACATTCAAAATCCAAATCTTAGTTCCCAAATGCAGCCTAAGGAAATTTAATATCCAGATTTGAGCCTAACAAAATTGGAGTATCGTAGTTGGTGGAACTATTGTTATTATGGGGAAAAAATGTCAAGTGCACTCGGATCTAAGACATTAAATGTGTATTAAATGAGTGTTGGTCATTGGATCATTGAATTTAGGGATTCGTGCATAGATTCAAGGATTGACATTATTTGGATACACATTTAATATCATGGATCGTCTCCACCGGATACTTTCTTTTAGTAGAAACTGTTCATGGTATTAAATATGCATATAAAAGACATCAATTCTTAGATATTGAATTTTGCGATTCGTGCACTGATCCAAAGAATAGTTTTTTCTTGGGTGCAGATTTAATGTCATGGAAACCATATGATACTTTCTCCATTGGACCAAGGCATTAGCCTCTTAGTCCCTTGAGTTTTGAATTAGCTGAGGATTCTCCGCTCACACCGCATGCCTGGTGGACCGCACTCACAGAATACCTTTTCGTAGAAGAGCTCCCTTTAACTCTTAATACAGAATGCGGCAAGAATTGCATCTCTGATGCAAGATACGACAAGTGTTATATTCTCTTCTGCCTACATGATACTCCACAATCCATATTTTCTTTCTCCCAAGAATTCATGTTGATTGTGAAAATTATTATTTTAAGAATGAGAATTCTTTATAAAAACTACACAAAAAGGAGATCACGATACTATGTTCAATACACCAATAATATTGTTAAGCATGACCGCAGTCGGAATAATGAATCGTTGCAATTATCACCTTTGATATCTATGTTATAAGTATTTCGTTTTCGTTTCTTAGTGATTTTCTATAGAGGGATGGATACCTATAGGAATTTATTTCTTCCAAATATTGACCTAGGAAGCCACTTAACATACTAAACAGTACAAAAGCTAAAAATAAGTAATTAGATAAAGACAACATGATGGCTATCGTGAAAAGCTTTTGACGTTCGGTACGTTTCAAGAGTATACATAATTTAGTTCCGCCAGCAAGCTGAAGTCATGAAATCTTTTTCTTCCCTCCTTTCTTTTCCCTTTTTATCTTTTTCCCTTTCTCCTTTCTGATATTGTTTCCTTAAATCTTATCAACAATAGCTCCATGAGCCATACGATAAACTTGGTTTCTGGTACTATAGCACTGTAAGACCCGTACAACAAAACTTTGGCAAACCATCACTAATACCTTAGATTCATAAATTATACGGAAATTATATATGCAACCTAACGGCAATATTGATGCAGTGTCAACAAAGGTCAGAGCCCAGTAATAAAGGAGCAAACATATTCAAACACACAAAAAAAAAAAAAAAATACAGAAGCAAGGAGTTTTTGCATATATGCCCCTCAAGTCTTCCATCTCTGCAACTCCTCAAATATTGGTATTTGCAAAATTACCCTCTAACTACCCTCAACTCTCGCACATTGGCTTTTCTACCACTCCCTCATAACAATGCTGGTTTTTAAATGCTACAGTATTAAAAACTTTCAAAATTTTCCAGAAAGGTGCAACATTTTCTTGTTTGAATATTAAAACTCTTAAATGAGGGGTAGAAAAGCTCAATGTGAGAGAATCGGTGGGTAATTCTCTAAATACCAAGATTTGAGGGGCAAATATGCAAATATGAAAGAATTGAGGGGTACATATGTGCAAAAAAAGAAACCCCAAGAAACAATTGTTGACGCATGATCTATATAATATATAGATTGTAAACATATATATGACTATAACACGGAATCTGTTGGATATAAACATGAACACACAGAGAGTTAAAAAAGCGCAGCCAGAGAGTACATGCAGACACAAAGACTTGATCTCTCTTTGCATGTAATGGTCATTGCATTGTTTGCGTTTTATCTTTCTGTTTAAATAGAAGACTATAATGTCATGACAACTGCCCCTTTGTATACCTATGTATTTAGTTTTCCCCATTCATGCAGCTTTTCTACTTCTGATTCTTCTGTTGGAAGCACCAGAAGTTTGCAATGAAGGAGATGACGATGGAGAAGGCGAGCGGCTTACTTTTGGGATGTAGGGCTGAGATGCCACGTGATCAAGTGCAACAACCACATCAGCGATGATTGGGCGTACATGAGGGTGTTCCTGGAGGCACATAGAGGCGACCACAGCTAGTTGGCAAAAGGCACGTACAGGGAAACGGCCTTGAAGCAATGGGTCGGCCAAAAGGTGGAATCTCCTGCTTTCGTTGAGAAATTGACGAGCCTGGAAAAGGCAGGGTTTCTATGAGAAAGGGTTAAAGAGCGAGGAAAAGTAGCATTACATGAACACGAATGATGAAGGATTTTTAATGAGACATTAAGCTGGCCTCATTTTGTCCAAAGGCTAAACAACAAAATTTGTCAATCGACATGTATTGCGTGGAATTTTCTATGGATAACACTCACAAAGATCCTATTCAAAAGAAAAAGAAAAAGGTTTCAGCCTTTTCTGAAGTAAAAAAAACATTAACACTGAAAAAGATCTTAATTTTGAAGCATTCAACTTTTGGTGCCTACCCTCCGATGAAAGCCAAATATCCTTACACCCTCTTCTTCTTCCTCCAAATTCATCTTCTTTTGCTACAACTTCTTTGTTCCGAACCTCACAATTAAACTCACTTCCTCTCCCTCCACTGTTGCTAGGGGATTACAATAGCTAGCTAGTTTCTCTGTATGTTTTACCTCATTATCTAGCACACCGTATTACTGCTAAGTTCACTGAACTTCTTGTATGTAGGTTTCTGCATTACATTATGCATTATTCTGGTGACTTTATAACCTAAGGCTCCTTGTTATGGTGTCTTGAAATATCCAACAGATGTAAAATAATTTAACTAATAGGTTCAGACTCATAGGGGGATAAGAACTGCAGATCCACATAGGTAAATAACCTCTTCCTTTTGGAATTTGCATAGCGCATACTCAAGAAAACTTTGTAATAGAAATGTATATGCTATCTAAAGATTATTGATCCAACTATCTTGCTATTGTCATCGTCACCAGCATTCATCAGCAAACAAGCCTCAAGCCACTGTTATTCCAATTCACCTAAATTCAACTTGAGCATCCACGTAGGTTCCCCTTCCACGATTTTTATCGAAGCAATTCCCTAGTCTCAAATCAGCTCGTGACATTTCAGCCAATCCATATCCAGTATAGAAGATAATAAAATGGATTTCTTAATAGTATGGCTTTCTTAATTGGATCACAAGATTATGTCTTGATGAAGTCAGAATCAGCCAAATTGAGTTCACACAAGAAAATTGAATAAATTATGTTGCAGATCCTGGAATGAAGACTAAGCATCTCCTTCTTAACCTAAACAATATCCTTTCTTAAAGCTTTGCAACCAAATCTTTCTCGGTTTCCTAACCCAGTAACCTTTCTCAACTACAATCTTATTGCTCCTGCCAACTCGAGCACCCATTTGGTATCTATTACGCATGTTCAAACCCGTTCAATAATGTCCATCTTATCTTCAAATGAAGCTACTGTTCATGAATTAAAAACCACCTCATCTCAGCTTATCAATTGAAAAACTCCAGGCTATCTATGCTTGCAATGAAGAGAGCCCACCTCTCATTCTCAGCTCAGTTACACGTTGTCTGGTACTTGTTACTTAAACCCCAATACTCCATAAGGCATGGCTGGTTTTATATTTGATTTCATTTCCTCTTTATCTAAACCGATAAGCCATCTCTATGAAAGAAAATCTTCACATAATATGAAAAATACACAAAGGGAACACATAAAAAACCCTACACAGAAATTGTCTCCTTACAAATTGATTTAATAACAAAGAAAATGATTAAAACAGTAAAATAGCCTAGCCTCCGTGTTAATGAAATTAAATAGCATTTATCCAAACATGAACTATGTGTAAACCAGACTGAAAAACAAACGACATGCTTTAACCTGTTAAGCCAAAAAAAAACTATTGATTATTTCTACTAATCATGGGAAAAGGTTTTATCCAAGTATTACTTGTCATACGTAAACCAAATGAATCAAACAAAGAGAACGTCAGGTACCATTTGAACTATAAACTAAAACTAATTCTATGTATATAATATTCATGAATTTTACATCTTGATCACAATAAGCCCGGAATCCAAGCTAAGAGCCATAGATATCCCAACAGCTCTGTAGCCACTACAATAAACATCAATGATAATAACGTGCCGCCTAACCATAAGAAATCAGCCCAAAATCATAGAATCATTCTACAACTAATTAACGTTGTATACAAAAAATTAAATTTATGTTAATTAGCTGTCAGACTTATAGATAGACACAACAGTTAGATAGGGTAATAGCATACAAGATTACATGTTAACAGATCACAACCAATAATCAACCAGTATGGCAACAAGAAGAAAATTTGGAATAATGAACAAAGTTAAGAAATATTATTGTAAATTTAAATGTAATAAAAAGATCTATACCCTTCTTTACACAAATTTTTAGATTGTAATGATTTTATTAAATTAAGTGCATATTCAAACAAACATTTTCATGGTGCAAACAGGCTTTCTGCGGGTATTATTTTAATTTAAAATTAAATTCAAAAAGCAAGTGACATCTTACTATGGGAATAGTAGTCTACAATTTCACTTTTAAATGTAAACTTCTGAAATTTACATTTCACCGGATGACTAGAAATTTATTGGAAAGTCAAGTGCCTGTTTGCAATATGCACATGTTGCAAACAGGCGTTGATGTGTGCTTGTAAACTTATGCATGTATGCACATGGATTTGCATGAATGTAAGCCTTTATCTGATGCGCCTACATCTGTGCTAATGTGAATAAATTGAAATGGTGGCAACATAGTGACTTACCCATGTTACTAGATTCCGTTCTGCTGCTATCTTGGAAGAGTCGAAAGCTCTTCTCCCAGTGAGCAGCTCCAAAAGCAGCACACCAAAGCTGTAAACATCTGACTTTAGGGTAAGCTTACCACTCATAGCATAATCTGGAGCACAATAGCCATAAGTTCCCATCACTCTTGTTGAAACATGAGTTCTGTCACCAACAGGTCCAAGTTTAGCAAGTCCAAAATCAGAGAGCTTTGGGTTGAAGTTATCATCCAGCAATATATTCGCTGCTTTCATGTCACGGTATATAACAGGAGGATTTGCTACATCATGCAAATATGTTAGTCCTTTCGCAGCCCCAACAGCAATCTTAACTCTGGTATTCCACTTAAGTGGCTGTTTCTCAGGAGTTAAATCTGCATGGAAAATGTCCAATTAATGAAGAAACCAAGCAAAAGAATACTTCAAGCTAAAGGGCATGCAGAACTTCGTGTATGCACCACAGTAAAGGAAGGGCGAGTTGGGCATTTATTATAATATTGAAGGAAAGGAAAGAAGGAATAAGAGCGATAGAAAGTCTTACGCAACCAGGAGAAAATAAAGAGGGTGAACCAGAGCCTTAGTTTAATCTGGGAGTAGCTGAATACTTAATTTCATACCATTGAAGACAAAAATAGAAATGAACATGCTTAAAACTATCTAAAAATGGCTACAACCAATATAAAGGAGCAGCATATCTTTAACTTATGGATAGTTTTTCATCACAGGAAATAATTGAAAGTTGGCATTCATTTGAAAAGCAGAAAACAGATTAGGCAATGTAAAACTTAGAATAAATTGTGAAACACCAAGCTTAACCAATAGCCTCTACTTTCCAAGTTTGGAACTAACCACAGCTTTCTAGGTGCTGGTTGGCTTTGCAATCAAGTTATAACATTAATTCAATGTTGGACTTCGGAAAGCAAGATGCTGGTCAAGATAGTCATCACAACTTACGATCTAAAAATTATAGAATTAACTAGATCATTTATGAACCCCAGGAAAAATATTATAAAGAGCATAAGGATCAATTAAATCAAACACAACAAGTACAGGAAAAACAAGACAAAAATGTATAATGTTGAAACAAAGAAACTGTAAGAAGAATCAATAACACCACTATACAATAGTATATTGTGCCTTACTTGCCAATTAACTTCATATGGGTGATCAACTTTGTCAATAAGTAATAGCTTGTTTATAGAAAAGTAAATGAAACACTGTTTTTAAAAACGACACAGATGGGGTGCACAAAATGGCGCCTCACACTAAAGAAACACCTAAGCACTCATCTAACCGCCTTTTACAACAGGAAGAAAACAAAAAAGAAACAAAAATAAAGAGCCCAAATTCTGTTGAGGCTGAGCAAGCATGAATCAAGCTGTATGAGGCCAACCACATGTATAAATTATATAAGCTATTCAAATATTTAATATTCACCAATACAAGCTAGTCAATATTCAAATCGAATGATCACAAATATTTAAGTAAAATGTGAAACTTGAACCTATGGCCTCAGACCGAAATACTAAATGAGGGCAAGTTTTCAATTGCAGGATTCATTGTATTTCAGCTTGAAAATTTCAATCTCATATTTAAATGAATGCATAATATAAATATCTCTATAAAGATGTTGTATAATTAACATTTATGAACATCAATAGAGACCATATTTGACTTGGATATGCGAATAGAGCTCGGACGTATAATCCAAATTTCAACTAAGAGGTCATAAAGGACTTAAGCCAACTATGCTAAATTTGAATGGTTTGAATAATATAATTTTTTTAATTGATGACATGTGTTATTCAGTTAATTTTGCAATATTTTTTGAGCCAGATTTCCATCAGTCTGGTAAAAAGATTTCTCAAAGAAAGTAATTCTCTAATAAAATACACTTTTGCTTCATGATCATTCTAGCTTAAACCTCAGCTCTTGAGCGGAATAATTAAGCTAAGCTCAAAATGGTAAGATCAGTGTTTTTAAAAAATATGCCAACATGTTGCCTAGAATGTCATTTTATAGGGCTTGTCATGACGAGAAGTACTTCCCATGTTGTTTATGGTTTTGAAAAATAACCAGGATATATCGGAATTGCCAATATATATCGGGTGCCATTTTGGGATTTTCCTGATACATTTGGCTATATTGACATAAAACATTTGGTGGAAATGGTGTCGTCACGAGTTCAAGGTTAACATTTGTTTTAAAAGGTTGACTTTGGTCCTAAGCCCCAACTTCAGCCTGTTTTATATAAATCTCTAAATAGAATAACTCGATTCCAATTAAGCCCCTGTGGTTTGAGTCACCTTTGTCGCGCAGGGAGTGTCTTCACCAGTGATTACATGTCCTCACCAATAAGCTTTTCCTCTTTCAGAGTCTCTCTGCCTCTCTCTTAACTGTCTCTCACGAACTCTCTATTCTATTACTTATGTGCTTTGGTATTTTTGAATTGTTAGATGTCATTTAGGGCATCGCTGATATGTATATACACTATAAAATATGACACTGATACTTATTAATATCTCCAATGGCCCCTATTGGATGTGGAGTTTTCTTTGTCCAACATGATCCTGGCATCCAACATTTACAGTATTAAGTATGGTTAACTTCAACTTTTCAAAATTTTGTTATATCTACCATTGACAATAGACTCAACTCCGCATTTGTGTCATTTTAAGGAACAAATTTAACATAGGTTTATTGAAACAGACGTCTCTTGCCTGTAATTTCTCTGTGCAAAATTAGCAAAAATGACGAGAATAAACATTTTATTGTTATAACCAATGTTTTGCCGACCACTGTAGAGCCTTCTCAATTTAGAGATCTTCTTTGTTGCTTAACTCAGATTAACATAGAGATCTACTTCGACTCGTTTAAGCTTTTTCCCAATCAAAATTGGACTTAGCAATAAAGTGGAAGCTCCGTGAAATGGTTTGATAAAATTTTACCACCAGTTATCAATCTATTACCAACATTATTTTAATTATTCCCGATGTGGCCATCCTTCTCTAGGACTTGCCACAAAGTGATATGCCCTCAATATCTTTTATCGCTTTGTCAATTTATTTTTCTGATATATCATATAACATTTCAACCTCAAAAATAAGCGACTGAAATGTTGCACTATTGATTTGGACTTTTATTTGTTTACATATTGATTTGAGTTTATGGTTCAATTGAGGTCTACACAAACAAATATCTGCTCATGTAAATAATCAGATAGAAGAATTATGGCTCAATCGAGACCAAATTCTTCGCAAAAGTTTTGCGAAAGATACCGCCTTCTCCCTTGCTTAATTCTTTGGTGCATCAAATATGAACATATATTATATATGCATATTATCCAATGTCACATCGATACTTACTAAATCTTTGATATATCCCTGATATTCGTCATCCGATATGGATTGTTCGACATGTCTCCAATATTCAACAAATATGACATATGGTAGGGGTTAATTGCGGATAGACCCCATGAGTGAACTTTTTTGACTTTTTAAGAGTAAATAGATTCACTCTGGGTCTATCCGCACAATAGAACTACAGGGGTCTATCCATAGTTAACCTTATATAGCATTACCTGATTTGAACGCCGATATTTATCACATATCTTTCATATATCCTTTCGTCCAATATGGTGTTTTTTTTCATTTGATTTGTCTGTGACATCCAATATTTAGAAACATTGGTTATCAACCTTCTAAATTGGTGCCAAAATTCCTTGGCTAAGTATATTGACAAAAGAAGAAAATTTTCCTAGAAAGTCAGTGGTAGACTATGTTACCCGGGTACTTCATTATTGAAGTTGTACCCGTACCGGACACGTACCCGATATTTCCCGTACCCAAACTTCATGGACACTTCTTGAATATATGCATGCATTTATTACAACATGTACTCAATTATACGATATATATGTTAATTTAAAACACTTGTCAAAGACTTCCTGGACATAAAGCTTACACTTCACATCCGTCTTTTGAAACTAATGGGATACGGGTCGGGTTAAAGACTTCCTGGACATAAAGCTTACACTTCACATCCGTCTTTTGAAACTAATGGGATACGGGTCGGGTTGGTTTCAGTCCATACCCAATGTCAAAACTATATAGTTAATGGGTCGTTTAGATATCTAGTAAAAAATGAGTAGTTTACAATTCACGATAATCAATATGATAAAATAAACTCAAAAATGTGATCGAAATTTTAATTATAATGAGTAGTCGAGTGACTCGTGTCCCCGTACCCAATATTTTACAATTTTGTCGTGTCCCCTACCTGTACTCGCACCCGTACCAATACCTGTGCCCGTTTCCATGCAACTTAGGTGGTAGAAAAGCATACCTTATGAACTATGTAGTCTAAGCTCATGCAAACCACGGGGGAAACCCCCAAAATTCTCATGGACTAGTGATTAGTCTAAAATGGAAAAGATAATATTTTTGGTGTAGTAATTATATTCAACTAAAATGCCACACTAAAACCAATAAATGGAACCTTAAGAGGTGTTAAAAACTATTTTTGCAAAATTTTGAACGCAATTGGTAAGTGTAGGACAAGTGACATATCATTCTTGGTAAGTGTAGGACAAGTGACATATCATTCCATGCAACAAGTACCCAAGATTATACCAATACTGCCATACTGGAGACCTTGCTACTACTATTCTCATTCAATTAAAACTCATAAAGGCCCTTTACTTGCACACCATCTTTCAAACTCATAATTCCCTGTCCACAAAACAAGAAAAAGCACTAATAGGATTTCCTGGTTTAGAAATAATTTTCAACCAATACTGAAACTTAAACAAAAGGAAGAAAGGCATGCAGAAGAGATTACCCATCAATTTGAACTTAACTTCCAAAAGACTTGATCTAAACGATCTAAACCCAGAATCAAGTGAGAGAACCCAACATAGAGTTCAGTCGGAGTAACATGCTGCCAAAACATGGCATTGAAGCCTATGTATGCTATGCCAATTGCAGTTACCTTTGCGGCTATATACTTTTTTTCCTCCCACAGGTACAATAAAATGTTCATTCGTTTCATCAGTGATATGCTTGTTACCATCACTATAATATTAGCACATTTGCCATCAAAATCTTATCTCCACTCCTATATAGAGGCTTGCAATTTGAGCGGTGTCTCATGTCTGTTGTCTGTTGCCTGTTGCCTAAAAGGCATCCGCAAATAAGAGGGAACACTTTTATCCAGCTCTTCTATACTCCCTAAATGATTAGTATTCTTCTCACCTAAAAAATAACTCTTCAAGAAAACTGTTAAAAAGACTCTCATTGGTTGTTAGAATTATATCCACCCATGCATATAACACCCGACTGTATGATTTTCTAGAGTATCTTCCACTCCTCCAATAGTCCCCCTCTTACATTAGAAAAGGCTTGTTCCACAGTGCACAGTTCCATCTACAATGTGATCCATACCATTTTCTCCAAAAAATTAAGCACAGCCATCTTAGACAATATTAGCCTTGCATGTCCATTCTAGATATTTAATCCCATATATATGCTCATCTAAAGCTAATGATATTGAAAAGATGTTTCACATATACGGATATACTCCAAACCAATGCGAAATATATAATTGCTACAATGGTTGTGGTTCTTTATTTAACAGACTTGTCCAAATTTGTTTTATTTGCACATGTGTAGCATGTTTCCGAATATCCAGTTAGCTCATAAAGAGAAAGTTGTCAGTGCAAGTGCCGGAAGCATGTAATATTTGGTGCATTGAACACATTCCTTATCTATGTGCTCAAGTGAAACTTGTTTCCTCGTGTCTCATGAGCATCATCATTTTTTCCATTAATAGGACACTCTTCCTAAGACTGGTTTGGATTGACATGACTAATGATTTTGATTTGATTTTTGATTACTTGAACAGGTATCCATATCAACCTCAACTGCCATAAAAACAAATTACAATATAATAGATAAACCAAGTGCACGATAAAAGTAACCATATTCCTCAATATGTTGCTTGATTTAAGGGGGAAAAAACTTGTATGGAAGTGTTCAATGAAGTTTCACCATGACCTTGCCGTCTTTCAGTTTAAGTAATTCATTACCTGAAAAGCTAGCACATAATTCAGGTTCGTACGAAAATTTAATAAATTTACCAACCAATGTTATTTGAAAAAAAAAACATATAAATACTGCGCACAACATTAATTTTGTGAAGAGCTTCAATGGTGAAATTACCACAATATGCATGCTCATGGTGAATAACCACAACACGCAAACTCATGAATATGAGGATCCTTAATAGGTGGATAAAGTTTCCAATAGTACCTGACTTTGAAGGTGAAGGCCTGATGACGTCCAGAGGTTCAAAAGTTCACGGATTTTTAATACTACTCAGAGGGCAGCAGAATTATATAGTCATACAGAAAATAGTACAACTGAATTACGTAAAGCTCTACCTTTTCTACTTTACTTTGAGCTCCAGTACATTTGAGATTACCTACAGAACTTCTTAAATTAAGAACTCTCTCTATTAAAAAAAAACTTAAATCCTTTCAAAGAAGGCCCTCAGGACTTTAGTAGTAACTGCTTTCCCAAGCCTTTAAATGAATGAGGTATTACAAAGAAAAGCACCGAAAGTAAATTGTAGTTAAGTAAAAACAATCTCCTGTCAGTAGGTTAATGGGTTGTTAACTTGTTATATTGTATCATTTTCAGGAACAAGACAACTAATGAACTAATTCCATAACTAAGCCACCTATTTTGACATGCAGTAGATCCTCATCTAAACACTTTGTTGCACATAGACAAGTCACATTTCAAACCATCCAACCCGTTAATCTTGCTGCGAACAACAAGTACTCATGGCACTTACAAAAATAGCTCCCTTTTCAGACCTAAAGTCCGACTAATACCTCTAAAAGCACAGACAGTAGATCTAATAGCTAATACACAGCTATTAAAAAAATGACGAAGACAGATGATAAATGCCAAAGTCTAAGACCAATTAAAATAAAGAATGATTCATGTATTCTTTAATCATGGTTACCATGCCTGTAGAAGCTGTCATTTTGTTTGCTAGTTGTATTTCAATTAGACCCTCCTCGATCTAGATTTCAACCGTCATGTGAAAACTTCCTGCAAAATTCTAAATACATGGGGGCACACCATGACCATTGTTTCCTCGGTCCTTGTTTTAAACATTGAAAAACCAGATATTTCCAAAAATGATTGAAGACTATTAAGTCATGCAGACAAAACGATGGCAAATAATGTAAGTCTAACTTCGGCGTCTAGATACAATCACAGCTCACATGAAAACTGTAGCGCTTAGAAGTTAACAAAACCAATTTAAATAAGTAACAAAGCGTCAAGCTATCAAGAGATCTTTCTATTACCAAATAAATGATCTTCCAAGCTACCCTGCGGCATGTACTCATAAACCAAGAGCCTCTCATCTCCTTCAGCACAGTATCCATGCAAATTAACAAGATTGGGATGCCGCAACATACTCAGCATGAGAACCTCTACCAAGAACTCTTTGCTCCCTTGAACCCCTTCTATGTTTAGCTTCTTAATTGCCACTTCCTGAAGAAAACAGAGGTTTCAATTTTAAGTGAAAAATCAAACTTCACTCAACAATTAGGTAAAAATAATTAAAATTAAAAAATTTAAAAGCTGCTCACCGTTCCCCATTCCAACTTCCCCTTATAAACCCTACCAAAACCCCCTTCTCCAATTAGATTGGCCTCCCTAAAGTTTTTCGTTGCGGCCGCCAGCTCTCGGAAATAGAAGCTCCGAGCACAGTCATTGGTTTCCCCATGAAAATGTGGCTTCTTCAGTTTCTCTGCTCCCAAAAAGATCACAAAAATAAAAAAATATCCAAAAAAAATAAAAAAAAATCGAATTCGAATAAGCAGAGTACAAATTGAGCAGTACCTAAAGGCGAATTGTCGTCAATTCTAGGATCCGATCCACTGGCATCACCATCCTCGATCCTGCTGCTCGCAATCTCCCTCCGACGAGGATAGAAGCAAGAGAAGCAGCTCATCTGCTCCGGATCCAAACAAAAACCCTAACGGAGTAGAGAGAACAAAGGTAGGTGGGGCTAATTTAATTTAATTCACTCCCAAAACCTAAATTACTTTCCTAAAATCAGCAAAGCGATTAGATTAATGCCGTTTATAGAAGCCGCGAATATGTCGAAAGCTTTCTAAATCTGTAGCATTCTCGCGATCGACAGCTGCTCGCTGCTTGTTTTGTTTCTCTCTTGCTCCTTCGCTTCTTCCTCTTCTTCGAGTAATGGTACTTCTTGATTCCGTACATTCCCTCTCTCACTTTCTCTCTCCTCGGGATTTAGCAGTGGCTCTCTCTCTCTATCTTATATCTATCTATCTATCCACTTTCTCTCTCTAAAAATCTCTCTCCGAGTTTCTTGCGAGCTTTAATGAGGCGACGTGATGGGTTGTTTTGTGGGGGGTTTCGTTTGGCTTTTGATTTTTCTTCTGTTTCCGTTTCCGTTTTCTGTTTGGGCATTTTCTATATTGGTCCCCTACATCTTTAATATTTGAATTACACCCTTAAAAATTGCAATTATTATTTAGTACCTTACATATTTGAAATTGTTAAGTTTAGCCCCTCAAATCTTGTTAGTTATTACAAGTTAGTCCCTACTGTTGGTTATTTTGTTCGCTTTTTTTTCCTTTTTTTTATTTTATTTGAACCTCGACTTAGTAGCGGCTAAGTAAACCTTTGGATCTTTCTTTTACGGTCAATATTCAGGCAACTAGTGCAAACATTGCAATGTCTAATAATTAGAAATTAGACGTTAATTATAGATATGATATAGACAGGGATCCACACTTGATCTTTTGAACCAAGACGCCGGGTCCTAACTGCTAGGCCATTCACAAGGTGTTATTTTGTTAAAATTTAAGTAACTAACTAAGATTGAGCTGGTTTTTTTTATAACAACTAAGATTGAGTTAATTGATGCCAACAAAAAAAGATTGAGCTAATTGATAATCACATAAAGTAAATAACATTTCTACCCAAAAGTTATATCACAGAAATAACTAAGTATAAACTGCTCTTAAGAGGACGACACACGTCTCCATTATCTAATTTAAGCATTATAACACGAACAAATTTTCAAAACAGACTCAAACCAAGTTTTAATTTTCAAAATCGACCCATTTTTTTATTACCAAAATCGACTCACTTTATGCCACGTAAGGTTAATCTCATTTCCTAATTAGTCGGGGTTGCCAACCCCGACTGTTTAGGAGATTGTTAAACCCCAATTAGAATTCTCCTAAAACTGCTCTTAAGAGGACGACACACGTCTCCATTATCTAATTTAAGCATTATAACACGAACAAATTTTCAAAACAGACTCAAACCAAGTTTTAATTTTCAAAATCGACCCATTTTTTTATTACCAAAATCGACTCACTTTATGCCACGTAAGGTTAATCTCATTTCCTAATTAGTCGGGGTTGCCAACCCCGACTGTTTAGGAGATTGTTAAACCCCAATTAGAATTCTCCTAAACAGTCGGGGTTGGCAACCCCGACTAATTAGAAAATGGGATTAAGCTGACGTGGCATAAAGTGGGTCGATTTTGATAATTAAAAAAATTGGGTCGATTTTAAAAATTAAAACTTTGTTTGAGTCTGTTTTGAAAATTTGTTCATTATAACACTAACCCAATCCGGGTCTCACGAATGTCGGATCCGCTCCTTAAAGCACTTTGAAATCCAAGATGACAAGCGTTCTCGCCCAAGTTTTCTCTCAAAAAGCCAAAGATGAAAGGCGTCCTCACCTGGTCTCTCTCGTAAGACCGAGACGAATGACTTCATCAATGGGCTCTTTCTCAAAAGCCAAAGGTGTTTTCGTCGAAAGTTACCTTAGTCATTGATTTCATTAAACTTTAAGCGTTACAAATGAATTCAAACAACAAAAAAATAAAAGATTACAACTTTCTTGAAAATAAACACAAGATCCGTTTGTCGTATCTTGCTTGCGTGGGTCTTTAGCCTGTGACGGGGATGTCGGTATCCGTGGACTACCTGGCAATCAGATCAGGTCCAGAGCTTCGTCGATCCGCGAGGAGATCTAGAAACAGAAGCGCTTATCTCGACAAAAGCGAGATAATTGCTCTTCTTAGAATTACCACAACGGGATAATACTAAGGATTGGATGGGGATGATGTAGATCTGACGGCTTTCGATCTCTTGTGTTGAAGAACTCGATCACTCTTCAGTTCGGCAGGGCTTCGCCAATTCTCCAAAATTCCAGATCTCCAAAAAGTGAGGGTCTGAGGCTTGTATTTATAGGCTTGAGGGGTTCCGGGCGGTTAAAACCACACAAAGGCCCAATTCTGCGTTGGAGACACTCCAGGGTGTCTCCACCTTGGCCGAGACACCCTAGGGTGTCTCGGCTTTGGCCGAGACATGGGTGTCTCGGCCTTAGCCGAGACACCTTAGGGCGTCTCGTTGGTCCGAGACACTCTGTTATGGTGTATTTGCCCGTTTCTGTTGTAAATTCTTCGTCCGAACTCGGATTTGAGTGATTCAAAGTACGTTGGAAAGCCGACAAGGAGTTCTATCAATTTCGATGGTCGGATCATCTATAGAATGAAGGAGACACGAAGGGCATTGTTCCTTTTGTAAACATCGCGGGGCTCCCGATTAGCCCGTACTTCCGTTATTTCAAAATTTTGTTAGTTCACGTAGTTCGTTGATTCACTTCAATCGTTCACCGACATCAATCGAACTCCTGTGAACCGGATAGTGACGTTTATCGTCGTTCCTTAACACTGAGCTGTTTGTGGAGACCTATAGGTAATTTTCGATGCCTACAGATACCCCCTCCAAAGCGTTCCAGACTCGTTTCTTTTATAGAAGAGGCTGGAATACTTTGGATGTGATTGGTCCAACCTTCAGTTGGCGTAAAGGACCTATAGTTAGCTTCGATTCTTGACTCTTTCGACTTTCAGTCTACTCGATGTTTTGGTGAATAGCTGAAGTTCTTCCGGCGCTGCGTTTATCGTCTGGCCGTCGTCGAAGTCTCAAATCTACAACTGATGAGTTGAGTTTGGCTCGTATTATTGAGTTGACTTTTTTATCATAACGCGTTGACTGGCGTTGACCTAGGGTCACGCGTTGACCGACGTTGACCCTAGGGTTTCGAACGTTGAAGGTTACACGTTGACCTTAGGGTTTCGAACGTTGAATGTTGACTTTTTGGTCGCAACGCGTTGACTGGCGTTGACCTAGGGATACGCGTTGACCGGCGTTGACCCTAGGGTTTCGAATGTTGTTGGATGCTCAAGTCACGAGACCAACTAATGAAGCTGATGCGTCAGTGACTCTCTAAATCCGTTCCGCATGTGACGTTGTGCTAAGAGAGTTAACGCTCTTAGTGCTACGATATTGAATACATAGACTTCGTCTTTCTCACGGGAATAGACTACCCGGCGACGCGTGTTAGGCGTTGATTTTAGGATTTTTGGCTAACCCCCAGCCTTCAACGGATTTGATTAGCCTTTACCGACTACCGTTTGAGTCGGGCTAGCATGCGGATTGTCTAAATCCGTTCCGCATGTGACGTTGTGCTAAGAGAGTGAATTCTCTTAGACTTGGCGCTACGATTTCGAATACGTAGACTTCGCCATTGTCACGGGAATAGGCTACCCGACAACGTGTGTTAGATACTGGCTTATCCCTACTTAGGCTTCAGGATAAAATACCCCCAGAATCGAACTCTGGTGTCTTCTTCTACGGAAAAGACTAAATCGGCGACGCGTGTTAGGCGTCGGCATATCCTTTCTTAGGATTCAGGATGAAATTCCCCACACGTGTAAGGCATGGATTTTGGTGTTATTAATAACAACCTGCCACAATGTTGAATATGTGGGTGGATATTCTTTTTAACGGTTAAGAACTAACCGGCAGCGCGGGTTAAGCGCAGGCTTATCCCTGCTTAGGTTTCAGGATAGAATACCCCAGAATCGAACTCTGGTGTCTTTTTCTATGGAGAAAAACTAAACCGGCAGCGCGTGTTAGGCGCAGACTTATCCCTACTTAGACTTCGAGATAAAATACCCCAGAATCGAACTCTGGTGTCTTTTTCTACGAAGAAAGACTAAACCGGCAGCGCGTGTTAGGCGCAGACTTATCCCTGCTTAGGATTCGGGATAAACTTCCTAGGATGAATCCTAGATTGATAAATTCTTAGAAAAGGTTGGTGCGAGAAAGAAAGAATTTTATATTCTATTTCACGGTCTTCTTTTAGGGTGAAGGCGAACCCGAATACAAGGAAGGAAGAATTTTATATTATATTCCTTGATTCTGGAAAGGAAGAATTTTATATTCTATTTCCAGTTGGAAAGGAGACTCGAGGTGGGATCTCCACCCCTAGAATCCGGAAAGATGAAACTAGGAGTGAGACTTCCACTCCGAGAATCGAAAAATTCGGATAATCCTAACTGTCAGAAGGTTTGATTACCGAACTAAAGGTGAATTTCTCGTTTATCGAGAGTGAATTGTGGTTTTGGTCTTTACTGTAGGAAGGTTTGACCAAGCAGGAGTTTGAGGTGATCCTAACTGTAGGAAGGTCTGATCACCCGATTTGAAAGTGGACCTCTCGTTCATGGAGGGAATCGAGAGGAGATTTTGTCTGTGGTCCTAACTGTAGGAAGGTTTGACCTGGAAGCAAAGGGAGTGGAATACAAGTAGCAGTAGAAATACTGATTTTGCTCTCGAGGTTTTTAATCTTCAAGCTTTCACCTGAGTCTTCGTTGGCATTCTCGTTACCACCCCCTGCATTGATGGAAGGATTATTGACATTGTGAGTTTCATTCGCACCTGTGTCCTCATCTTCCAGATCAACCTGGTTATGACGACTTGGCTCGCCTTGCTGGTTTGTCAGCGCTCGGATTTACTGGTCATGCATTTCTCTCATATTCTGTATGGCCATCTGCGAAACTTTCCTTCTGCTTAGTCAGGGCCTCTTCAAGCATCTTGGTTACTTGTTCGGCGCTGATCATAAGTGACTCGTAGGGTTATCCTTCACTAGATGCCGTGTCGTCGGACGCTATAGCCGAGCAGGAATCTGAACCATCATCTGACACCTCCTCTTCCAAAGGAAGTCCCTTTTGCATCCTTTGGTAATTACTTCGCCTATTGGTCCCTGATCGCAATCGAGTCATACGCTGGGATATTTTGGCAAACTGATCTGGGCTAAAACGTCGTGTCGATTTGCCTGACACTTCTAAGAATTCGTCCTCTTGGCAGACATGCTTCTTCCTACGGAAACGCCTTGGCTTGGTCTCGGACGTTCTGGTGGAAATTCTCTCGAACACCGAAACTCTCCTTGGGGCTTTAGAACAGCAGCATTCTGACAATACCGTCTTGATTATGTTGGCACACGGACAGTGAGACTCCGTGTCTTGAGCG